GTTTAAGCGCATTGCCACCATTATCCTTACCTTTGCTCTGTCGGCTGGCATCATCTTCGGCCTATTCGCCTATGCCCCAGAAAAGCACCTGCAGCCCATGTCCAACGCAGTGGGCATCTCTTTCAGCACGAGACCAATCCCTCATTGTGGCGGCTTTACTGGATCTAACGAGATCTGGAAGGAATCACAAACAAAATACCAAAACCTGCGCGATGACAAGTTCACGTATGGACTGGCCCACTTGCATACCAAGTTTACACCCATTGTCTAATCATGGTTTCCTAGTATCGTAATGCAGACATATCGTCGACCCAAAGAGCTGAATGACACACTGCATGCTCTATTATCCGAGAAGATCCCCTCATTGACAGAAGTCGCTGTGGTGTGGAACGATGTTGAGAATGCACCTCCTCCAAACTATAAGTCGATACACGGCGTTCCCGTTCGGTACCGACACCCGAAAGAGAACAGCCTCAATCAGAAACTATGGCCCGACCCTGCATACAAAACCCAAGCCATTTTCCTGTCCGATGACGACATTTACTACAAACCCAAAGACCTCGAATTCGTATTCCAAACTTGGCGCAAGTTTGGCCGACGTCGCATGACAGGAGGATTTACCCGATGCGCTGACCGGGATGCTGATGGCAGGTGGAAGTACACTTTCTGCTCCACAGAGGAGGGCCAAAACTACTATAACATGATCTTATCTGGGCTCGCTTTCACCCACATTTCTTTTATAGACTACTATTCCTCACAGGATGAAATCCCCAAGAAGATTCGAGCTTACGTCGACGAGCATTTCAACTGCGAAGACATTGCCCTCAACTTTGTAACGTCACTATTATCCGGCGAGGGACCTCTGCTTGTCAAGGGCAAGGATCCTTATGTGAGCTTCGTACCAGAGAATGGTGTCAGCACAAGACCAGGGCATGCCGAGGCTCGAAGCAAGTGTATCAATGATTATTACGACATGTTCAAGTGCATGCCATTGATCAATGAAACGGCGCGTATTGAGCTTGGCGTCCTTATTTCATGATACGATACCAATACTCCTTTGGCGTTCGAAAGAAACTTCTGATGTATATTTGGGACTAATAATTCTTGCTTGTATATATAGCCCAATCGAAAGCAGGGACCCCCTCTGTTACTCTCTTCTGTTTTGCAATGCCCTTCGCCTATAATTTGGTTTCGGCGCATCCTCTGGGCCACTGCCTGACTCCTAGTTGGCTGTGTTGCTTTGGCGTATGTGCATGTGAGAGAGGAGGCGGGTCGTGCCACATAGAAACGTAATTTGGTCCTGGCCATTGGATTAGCATTCGAAATTATAAAGCGGCGGACTCGGCTGCCAATCCCAGGATATTCTGGCTTGCCAACACATTGTGTATGATATTAGTATCCTTGGTTTTACTTGATATGATTTTGGCCACACCGAGTTTTGTGTATGGCCTGAAAAAATGTGTAACGCTGAAAGCATCTTGGCATTTAATAAAAGCAGACTATATAATTGCATGGCTCTATGCCCATCACATGTTGCTTGGTTTGGTAAAGGCAGTTGTGATGCTGAGTCTTTCGTTTCTTTTATGACGGGTGATGGGATTGTGCAGACCATCAATATACTTGGCCCAGAAGCCATACCAAGATACGTTCATGCTATTGCAACCGCTCCTTGGGTGAGGTCAGTGGATCACAATCTGGCAATCAGATAATTTCGTGTACGTATTAAGGGCACTGGTAGCCGCATCTTGGACAGATATGTCAATACTAGATTGGCCAAGAAGTATAGCCTGCCCGATAATTTGGTACCTACAAAGTACCCCCAGGCGATGTATTGATATGTGGCCTGTTAAGGACATACCAGCCGACTCCAAATGCCAATGTACATTGTGTGCAAGCCTCTATCAGCTAGGCCACTCAAAGGACAGCCAATGGAAATTGCAAGTCATCAATAGGACACGGATATGCAACAAACGTAGGTACGCTAACTCTGGCGTGCCATCATAAGGAAGTTGTCATGAAACCAACCAGCCTACCGCCTCGGAAAATCGAGGGACTTATGTTCAACTGTAGATGAACAACCGAGATATCTTAGTATACATACAGGGTGTGTGGCCTAGAGTTTTTTTTTTTTTTTTTTCGCACGTGAGAGGAGAGATCCAGATCTCGATGCAGATGTATGTAAGTGATAGACGTTCGTGCGTAGACACAAACGTGAAACTAATTGATTGATGTTTTATTTTAGCAGATGGTCTGGGACGGTGAGGTAGATGTTTGGCCATGTGGTGCAGGAAATAGCTCATGATGGACACAAATGGATCTGGAATGGGCATCATTGGTGCTATCAGTTCGAGGGTCCATGATATAAATGATGAAATGATGTAAGTAGCTACATCGGAGAACATTTTGCCTGAATTACTGTATGGTTGTAGTTTGAGCCCTGCTTTTATGTCCTCACCGGCATGTTACCAAAAAGTCTCGCCTTCATCGGTAGAATATCTATGTGCTTAGAAACGGACCAAATCGACCGGGTCCAATTCTCGGCCAGCAGGGTAGGCATTAATTGGAATAGCTGGGATCTAATCAACGGGGGTGTGTGTAGCCATGCAATTTTTATTGCTTTCCGCATATAAGTCATCCTTCATCACCGGAATAATACGAGCTAAGGAGGCTGTGTCGGACCGGGGTGTATCAGTAGTTGAATGAAGTCGGTGTAGTTTCGTGTGGACAAAGTGCCAAAATGAACTGACTAGGTTGGCGAAACGGCATTTCATCCCGTTGACCGGACATGCTCTAAAGGTGTTGTGGTGACTCGTGAGTGTCGCAGAGAATATAAGGGTGTATAACACACAAAAATACCGTGGCGTGGCCACGCCCGTTTTTTGGTATTTTTTCGTGTGACAGTGAGGGCTTCGATTGAACAACGAAAATGTGGGGCGGGCACGATTACCATGCGTGCATGCCAGGACAGACCATTGTCCGGTTCCTGCACTCGAGTCGAGTCTGGTTCAATTAGCGACATGTGACACGCATACATTGTGACTACCTACTAGATACCTCCTTAGGCACCTAGGTGTAGGTAGGTACCTAGGTAGGTAGTATGTACTCACCATTTTAGTTCGCATCCCTTTGAGTGTGTTAAGGTCCAAGTGAGGTACTGGGTCCACTTTTCTGCGATACCTAACAGGTACTTCTTCGGTAATCATATCTGCCACGATAGGAAGATGTAGCTCTTTGTAAATTTAAATATTACTGGTACTTACACTATCACATTACTTCTTAGTGAGACTTTGTACCGTTTAACACGGTTTTCTCATTGGCTAGAACCCCTACCCGGTACGAAAAATGGACCTTAACACATTCAAAGGGATTGGAAGCAGGAGCGGCTCGGGCCATCCCCTAAATGCGGCGAAGGCGGCAGTGAGGTCACGGAATCCACAACGCCCCTGCCAGCGGCCGTGGACCTTGAGAGACATTATTAATAACTATATTAGGCCTAATAAAGGTGTGGTTATGATATGTGTGAAGTAGTTTCCTGTAATATGGAAGTTTATTAGGACTTTTCTTATTATATAAATTAAGTATAAAAAAAGTACCTTTTAAATACTAGCTTTTAGTTGGCTCAAAACTTCGGTCATGACCTCGCTGCCGCCTTCGCTGCATTTAGGGGATATTTCAATGTTATGTCACTCTGACTTGGCCTGAACCTGCCCTGCTGCAGCAAGTGAGAATCGGAAATAAGAGAGAAATAACGCCAACTGAAATGTTCCATCCGTATTATGCGGCTATAGCGATTTGGAGGAAAGACTGCGTTTTTGTTGCGTCATTGTCTGTTAGTGTCAACATCGGTTCCTAGGACAGGGGTAGAAAGTACGGTAGATGAGCGCCATGTAAGCCACTAGATGCTAGAGCGCGCTCTCTGCGTCCAGACTACAACTACAGAAGCTATAATGCGCAAATCAGCCGATGACTTACGAGCTTCTGCCAAGAAACTTCTGCACCTAGTATGGCACGCGACCGATTGTATGGTCGCGATTATTGATTACTGTGATTTTATGCCTTGGGATGCGTGAATGACTTGCTGTTTCTGTATGATAACTCCGGGGTGCCAAGGATGCACTCCCAGGATTTTTTGGAACCAGCGGGGAACCCATGTCGGGGTTCGAGGAAATGTGGCTGGTGCTTGTCGACGAGCCACGATGTGATTATCCGAGTGAAGTGGAGGAGAGGCGGCGGTGTTGATTATCGGGGGATGCAAGTTACGAGTTACAAGCCTCAGGCGGTCTGCAGGGGCTGAATTTCAGTGTTTACTGTGCTGCAAGGGGGAACGAAATACGTACTGGATTTCGTTTCCCACAACCTTGACTTTACTAAGTTACTAGTTGACATGTCAAGACTTGACTCATTAGTATTAGCCGGTGTTTTAGGCTGGAATTCGGTGAGGGGACGCGTGCGAGGAGGACAACATATTTGACCTTTTGTGTCATTTCACTTGCATCTGCTAAGTCCCAACTCTACAGACCACTTAGCACTGCATTGCGACGGGGCGTTTGAGATGGGGTGCGCCACCAGGGGACCACAGTGTGGGGAAGAGAATCTGGGGAAGCAATGCATGGTATTGCTTCCTGTATCTGGTCGCTGAGCAGCGGAGCTTGACGTCATACGAACATCTTGCTATTGATTGGCCAGGTCCATAGTTTGTGAAGCTGGCCACGTCCATGCAGTAAAGAATTGTCCAGGACATATCCCTGACGATGCGGGGATTCGGGGGCTTATTATTTTATCATCCGAAGAAGAGAGCCGATGACCGTGGCCGACGAAACAACCAGACTAGCCGTATCCTGGCAAAGACTATTTCAACGCGTTGCACCCTGTAGATTTACATCAACCATGACGCTTAATTCTCGGTACCTAAAACAATTCGGACTTTGGATATGTTGTTAGCATCGCAGGCATGAGCGGTTCAAGTATAGATGAGTCTGAGCAGCATACAGAGTATATCAATGTTCAGTCGCATCACCAAGCCACGGGCCAGTGAGTGGAACTTCCGGTGGAGGTAAGCAAAGAGCTGAGACATTGTGATTCTAACACTTGACCGTTTGCAGATGCGCCCTCGCTCATGAACATTGATTCCAAGGAGGAGTCTCGAATCCGTCTCAAGATGGACTTTGGCCTGATACCTCTAGTCAGTCTCTTGTATTGTAAGATGGTTCCGCCAGCCGATGCTAGCAGCTTTTCAACCCTCAACTAATCCGCCCGCAGTGCTTTCCTTCATTGACCGGTCAAACATTGGTAAGAATCTTGGAAACCTGCGAGCTTTGCCGTAATGACTCTCACGGACCCCAGGCAATGCCCGACTCGCCGGTCTCGAAAAAGACCTCAGCCTGCGCAACTACGACTACAATGCCAGCCTGTCCGTCTTCTACATCTCATACATTGTCTTTGAAATTCCATGCAACGCATTGTGCAAGTACATGGGTCCCGGATGGTTTATCCCCTCCATCACACTAGGTTTTGGCATTCTCACCATTTGCACGGCCTTTGTGACCGACTTTGCGACCTTGTGTGCAGTGCGATTTTTACTTGGCATATTGGAGGCGGGCATGATGCCAGCACTGGTGTACTTTCTGTCAAGATGGTATCGTCAAAGCGAACTGACGTTTAGAGTGTCGCTATTCATTATCTCGGCGTCTCTGGCCGGCGCCTTCGGTGGATTGTTGGCATCGGCGATTTTGAGGCTCGACAGTTTTGGCAGCCTGCATTCCTGGAGGATGATATTTGCAATTGAAGGTCAGTCGTGTCTCGTGGCAACTCTTGTTTTGGACCGATGGCACCAATTCCATGTCTCACACACTCCTCCCAGGAACTGCAACTGCGGTACTGGGCATAATTTGCTTCTTCGCCCTCCCGGACCGTCCCGAAACAGCTCTCTGGCTTACACAATCGGAGAAGGAGCTTGCCATCGCCCGACTCAAATCCGAACGAATGGCCACCACTGAGCTCGTGGATCAATTCAGCTGGAAACGAATCCAACTCGGCATCTTCAACCCAGTGGTACTCCCCACGGCCGTCATCTTCCTCCTCAACAGCATCACCGTCCATGGCGTCTCGTTCTTTCTGCCCACAATTGTCAAAACCATCTTTCCCGACCAAAGCGTTTCCAACCAACAACTGCTCACGATTCCGCCGTATGTATTGGGCGCAATTACATGTGCGGCAACTAGCTATGTCTCTTGGCGTGTGAACCGGAGGGGCATCTTTATGATTTGTTGCGCCCCTTTGACGGTTGTCGGCTATGCCATGTTCCTCGCGTCCACGAACCCCAACGTGCGGTATGGGGCGACGTTTCTCCCGTTCATGGGCATATTTACCTATGGCGCCTTGACAAATTCTCACGTCGCGGCAAATGTTGTCTCCGACACGGCCAAGTCGTCTGCCATTGCGACCAATGTCATGTTGGGCAACGTGGGCGGGTTGATCTCAACGTGGGCATTCCTTCCGTCTGATGCACCTCATTACAAGGTCGGTAATGGGTTGAACTTGGCGGTACAGGCCAGCGTGATTTTTATAGCGACAGTGTTGTACTTTTGGGTGAAAAGAGACAATCAGAGGAGAGAGGGGTTGGATGTTGTGGCAGAGTTGGAGGGGAAAACCATGCAGGAAATTCGGGACATGGACTGGAAACATCCGGAGTTTAGATGGAGAAACTAAGAGTGTATGTTGTCTTGAACGCATCATATGTTTTGAGAAGATTGCGTGTCACATTGTGATTGCATTATCATAAAGTCCGCTTATTGAATGTCTATTATCGAGGCCGGTTTCCTAACCGCCAATCAGGAGAACACTCAAACTAGTCTCAATGACGCAAAAAAGAGCTCCTTGGCTTGCAAGTTGTTCGTGCGTGTCCTCCATTCTGAGGGAGTCATGTGAATTCAATTTAATTTTGCTAGCATTTTCCGCCCACCAAGCTCGAGAGAGTCGCGTCAATCAATGGTACAAGATAGACATTCTTGAGCAGTGCGCGTTTTTGAGCTTGGTGCCAACATACCATCGGCTTTACTTCTACCTACGCCACCGATATCATGGCAGTTCCCCCGTATATGCGAGCAGACTCATACAAAATCCCACTTAGTTCGGATGCCCCCTTAGGCCCAGCCTGTCCAAGAAGGGTCCATCATGAACTGCTATCAAATAGGCCGCGTCTGTACCTTCATTGACATGTTGCACCCTTGACCACGCCGGTACAGCGAATGTGTCTCCTGTCTCCCAGTGTAACTTCTCCGTCCCACCTACACATGACGCTGTCACGGAGTAGCCTTTCCCTTCATAGCAGTGGTAGATAAAGGAGCTAGTATCTTGCATAATCTCTGTTGTCACGCCCGGGTTGACACGTTCTGCGTGGACACCAAGTGTGGTAGACAGCGCTTTGCCGTCAGTAGTTTTGTAATGATATGTGACATGGGGCCCTGGCATAGCATCCAATGCCTGTTGGGTCGTTTCCCAAGGGTGGCGCCACTCACAAAAGTTACCGAGCCTGAAGACGTTGGTAATTTAGCATCTTGGGAGCTTTTTGGTCGAATTACGATGCCAAAAATTATAACCTCATGCAAATTCATGAGCTTCGACCTGTGAATCCATAGGGCAACTTACGTGCTGGGATATCGACTAGCGGCGTAGGTTTCTGCAAAGTGCACTCGAGCATATGTAAAAAGGGGCAGGTTCAACGCGTCTAACCATATAACTGGATTCTTGCTTTCATTTCCATGATCATGCCAGTGCCAGGAAGGTGTAACCACGACATCACCCCTAATTAAGGGCATTCTCTTGCCTTCAACAGCTGTGAAACCTTCACCGGAGATGATGAAGCGGCATGCGTACGCCGTATGACGATGGGCAGGCGCCGTCTCGCCAGGATTGACAAGCTGGAGGCCAGCATAGATTGTGTCCGTTGTGTGAGGAGCATCTGCATATTGAAACCTTGTAAGCATACCGCCGAAAATAGGGGTGGTTGAGCACACCATATCATAATTCAAAAATACAAAGTGTACCACACGAATAGTTGTGTGGTTGAACCTACTCATGCTGGGATTCACAAGCATCAAGACCCTCCTCTCTGCTTCCTCCTCCGGCACCAGCTGCCCTGCGGCTGACAGTAATGGCAACGTATTCTTGTATTTCCAGATATAGGGCTTTGCAACTGGATTAGGTGTCCGAGGGACCATGGCATCCATTCTAGACCAGAGCGGTTCCAGGTGCTTAGCTGGTAAGGCTTCGAGGTAGTCTGACACCGATGGTAGTGCCGAGGCATCGCTTTCCGCATCTGTGGCGTCTACGGAATGGTCCACATGATCCTTGGGAGCAACCGGTGAAGGTTGCACGAGTGTCTGGACTGACGGCATGATGGCTGTAAATTCGGGATATGCTGTGGCGTCAGTATACTGCTGTGGTAATGATAGCACTAATTCCGGCACAAATAAAGCCCAGTGAATAGTGAGCGTGACGAGCCGTGATCTGATGGCATATTATATCTCCGTGGGACGGCCTTGTTCTCCGGGGCTGCCGTGTACGTCACGTTCAGCATAGCCATGTCGCCTAACGTTGACTTGCTTCTTTGGCATGTCTTTGCCGACTCTGATTACCGCATGATTCGAAACAGCCACGTCCCGACTTGGCACCAAGGAAATCTCGTGAAAGATCGATAAGTCCATCCCAGGTTGTAAGTTCCGGGAGTGGAGTCTTGATCACATAGCGGTGCGGTGACGCTGTGCATCCGAGCGTGAGCGAGCACTATTCCGATCGGACCGTGATATCATTGGTTTAGAGGAGGGAGAGTCAACGCACGGCAGTTAAACGTCAACTGCAATACATAACTCTGGAAACGATTTCCGAGGCCGGTAGGTCGGTTTCAGGATGTGTGCCAGCTATTATCATTTTGGTGGTAAAGTTGGTCGCTCTACCTCGCCACTGGATGAGCTGCGCCGGGCTGGGTGCGTAGGCATTTGGGCCGCAGCACCTGAGGTCAATTCAATGCCACCACCTCAGAAGCCATGCCGCTTTGTAGCAACAATACCACGGATATAATGTGCTGCCACGTTGCCAGTGACAGCACAATTGGCATCACCAGATTTGTGCCAGTAATCGCTCCATTGGTGCGCCAGTAGCTAGGCGCTACTAGCAAATCAAATGCTATACGGTCAATCAAGTCTGGTTGGATGTTGTCAGCTGCAGGTAGCCAGGCTGTATGTGCTGGTAGTCACTTGCCTCCGCCCGCAGTTACGAACATTGAGGTTGATGGATCATCCATTGATGGGTCTCGACCATCTGGCATCCACCACGCACGCAAAACAGCCTGCAAATGGCATCGGTCCCAGTCGTTGGCTTTTGCCTGCCTCCTTCATCCCAGTTCTTCTTGTCCGAACCAGAGCTATTTGAATCGAAGTTTTCCATCTGTGCAGTATACCCTGACAACCTGAATCTGCCACACTTTCCAGCGCAACGTTTTCCCAGACAGATATGTGGTTTTTCATCAGCCGTGTCTCTGCTGCAGCGGAGAAACCTAACAGCGAGGCTGAAGATCTGGGTTGCGACCCTCCAGTCCCTTTATTTTCCAGCCTGCCCTGAACGGTTATAGCCTGCTGAGAAGTTTTGAGCCTACCAGACATGAAAAAGCGTACACTATCTAGAAGAACCTCATTAGCTTAGGTTAGGAAGCACCGGGTTTGTATTTTGTGCTGAGCGACGCTGTTATTGTGAAAAAGAGACTAAATAACGGAAATTTTTGCCAAGCTAAATCGCTCACCACTACCGCCCTATATTACGTGGCACTCTCACGATACTACGGACGTAATATTCTTGGAGTTTATTCCAGGCAAGGATCTAGGAACCCTCCTTAATGATGAACAAGTGAAAGATGAGTCCAGGTAAAGAGTAACTCGAATAAAGAAGTTACAGAAGGCGTGAGACTATCTCTGATGGATACGGCAGCTTATTGCGACAGTAACTTTGCTCAAGCAGCCAGGTCTGGCGCATTGCGGCATTCGGCCAGCTAAAATGCTAGTATTCAACTCGCGGGACATAAAGCTTGCAGACTTTGGCCACACGCGTAAGATCGGGGGCATTGCGCCATTTCCAAGTGGACCTTTTCCTCTCCGGCTAGAAGTGGATGAAGATTGCTCGAATTGCGGAACCTTTGGCATAGCTGGTTGTTATAGAAGGCAATTTTGCACCAGGACTAGTCATTTATGCCTTGAATTGCTACGCGGCCATAATCCCTATGGAGATGACTAGTGGGAGCCTGACCATGGTCCGATTTATTAGGTAAAGGTCTAGAACATGGACTTCCCAGATCTAGGCAAGGGTAGACATGATAATATTATTGAGAACTGCTGGCATGGTCGCTATGAGTCCATCACTCAGGTCTTGGGACACATGGCCGGCTTGAATCGGCTTCGTGGGAAGTCATTGAGCAGCAGACAAACGCAACCGACATCAGATCAAGGAAGTAAGATTGCGAGATTTCGCTTTAATGGGTTCCTCGAAACGCTTTTTGCCTGTTAGACTAATAAACTATGCTCCCGTAGATGGATAGGATCCTGTAGAGTCCACGCCGGTGCTTGGCAAATTGTCCTCCGAACGTTGCATCCCAACTCCTCAAAGACGACACTACTACCTCTATAAACGCGGCGCATACTTTTGATAGACAACGGCATAGGCAAGCTCAGTTATTGCTGCAATAGCAAAGCACCATAATACATACAGCTCCTCTGAGACTATGGTCGAATCCCGTTGGAGGATATTTAGAAGCGCTAATTGTATCAAGTTTGCAGAGTATTTATAGTTTCCAAAAAACCGCGACCGGTTTTACTTCTCAATGTAAATTACTGACTCTGGTACAAAACAAGTGGAACTCGCTCTTCTATCCAAATTCTAGCTGTCAAAGACCATGCAGAGAGAGCCAAGATGCGCATACTGATAAGCTGGATATCGAGGATATTCGGCCGTGGAACACTATTGCTGGATCTTTTTGCTTCATGGCTCCGTGGTCAAACCCAACAATCACTCCGACACTAACGTTGGAGGAAGTTGATTCCGACAAGTTAGAAGACTCGTTAGCGCAATTTCGATCTACCCGAAGGAATGTGATCACTTTAACCATCTCTTTTCCCCGCACTCTTTATGAGGATATATCAGTTCTCTCTTTGAAACCCTTTGATAAGCATGCAAAATAGTTGCTTGCTATTCTTAGCGTGCTCCTTTGCCTCCAGCTGGTCGGCCTGGTGGTATCTGGATGAACGACATGGTCAACGCACCTACAGGACTTTATCCACGACGAAGATTTTTATTCTCAAAGCCAGCTGCGTCGACCCTGGCTTCGAAGTCAAGGACAGTGATCTTGTAGTCCTCAAAGTGTGGGTAGCCATCCAGGCGGTTGATCTGGGGAAGGATACGGGAAAAAGGTCGGTGGCATCTTACAGAGCGGCCCAAATAGACCGGACCATGGGACGGGCCTGCAACGTCACCAAGGACCCAAAGTATGAGTTCAAACCGTGTTCTGACTTGTGGGGCAGTATGTTGGGTTGAGTTGTCGTTCATAGATCGGCCAGGGCAAGAAGATTTCGATTGGTGTGAGAGTGTCACGAGGACTATCCAAATCCTACGGCATCAATTTTCAGGATCTGTTTGGTCTAGACCGTGTTTGTATTCGTTATATTACCAAGATGCCTGGGTACCCATGGTTGATGAGTTTGGGAAGGTTAAGTATGTGTTCGGTTCCTGGTTGCACTTGTTCTGGTACAATCTCCTTGTACTGGACTCCTGCCTTTTAGGCATGACACCCACTGCCACTTGCGCCGAGAGTCCGCAGGAGGTGAACGAATGGCTTGGCCACTCCGAGGACACGTCAATCGTCTCGGTTGGAGAAATGACCCCCCACGACCGAAAAAGACATTCAAGACGCAAAAGAGACACTGCTTTGATACAAGTGATGGGCCTGTGCCAAGTCAAACTCGGGGGTGAGATCGACGTCCGCATAGAATGACAGGACGAGAACAAAGGAGTGCGGAGTACCCCTTGTCAGGAATTTAATGCTATTAGTAAGATATTGGTGATTTTTTTTCGCTGGAGCCCGCAGCTTTGCCGCAGCTTTGTCTCCTTTGTTGAGCATGTGTGAATGGAACATTTGACGCGTTTGGCACTACACGTGTGCAGGGCATGAACATGTCAAGTGCTGCAGGACAGGTGTCTAAGGCGCCGCAAGACTCAAAAAAATCATACCGTAGCAAAAACCGTCGACGTTTTGCATGGAACAAACATGGAGACACAAAGAGCCAGGTACCCTAAAGATCAAGCCATTTCGCACTTGAGTATCAATACTCATGCAGTACGGGTTGAAGCCTCTGGCCGCTTGCGGGTTGAAGCAATCGAGTTTGTGCAATGCAGGAAACAAAGAATGAACTTGTAGCGGGTCCACAAATAGCCCAGGCTCGCTGCCACTGACGACGTTGGGTGTGCTGATGCTGTGTTGAAGGTGTTCAGTTTGTATCACGTCAAATATGACATAAATACTCGAGCAATGGCCGCGTGGTAATTCCTACTTTTCACTTCTTAATCTCTTACATCTCTTACAGCACAGCTTATTTGGTCATCCATTGTTTTTAAAGACATACGACTCCTTAAGTCCAAAGGGAATTGTTCTTTTTCCTTGGGCATGAAAAAGGCGCTTTTCTCCTGTGCGCGCCACGTCTTTCATCTCCAGCGTTAAAGCGACGACGCCTCTGCCCCGGCAGTGGTCTTTCCCCCACAAGCTTCGCCTTTTCAGCCTACAACACAAAACAAGAAGTCTCAGTACTTTGACCAGAATATGACGACCTTTTTTGGATTTCCTGGCAGGAGATTCGCCACGGCCCAGAACCGCGAGGCTAGATCCCACAGACCACCCGCCGAGGCCGATCTCCAAAGGACTCTGCTAAGACGGGTCGCGCAGGAGACGAGCGCCGCGACCGACAGGATGCAGCGGCTCGTAGGAGAACATACCAATCTTGCCTGGTCGCAAAAGTATTCAGCACATGCACGCAATATACCACGCACCCACCCCCCCTTTACCGGCCATGGCACTACCATCAAGGTCGTCAACATGGACACGCTCGACGCCGCCACTGAACTGTGGAGGCGGGCTATGGAGCAGCGAGATGCCCGATCGGGGCGATATCCCCGACCTGCTGTCCTCAACTTTGCGAATGCCGATAGGCCCGGCGGAGGTTGGTTGAACGGTGCCATGGCCCAAGAGGAGGCCATCTGCTACCGCTCCACACTAGCGCGTAGCCTCGACAAACGCCACTACCCGTTGCGTGAAAACGAAGGGATATACAGCTCGCGCGTAATCGTCCTACGTTCCAGCGAGAAATCGGGCCACAAGTGGTTGCGCTACAAGACCGCTGAAGATCTGCCCTGGTTCAGCGCTTTAACCATTGCAGCAATCTACAAGCCCGAAACGCGGTCCGAGAGGGTTGGGACGCCGCCGCAGTGGACCAAAGTCTTTGCCCGTCAACAAGACCGTGAAGTGACCAAGACCAAGATGAGGCTGGCATTGCGTATGGCGGCGACGAATGGCCACGACATGCTCGTCCTTGGTGCCTTTGGCTGCGGCGTCTTCGAGAACCCCCCTTGGGATGTTGCTCGGTGTTGGCTTGAGGTGCTGAGGGAACATGCGCAACAACATGCGCACCAGTGGAGATGCGTATGGTTTGCAGTTTATGACCCACGGGGTCAGGGCAACTTTAGGACGTTCAAAGAGGTATTGGATGGAAAAAGGGTTTGAGATGGCGTGGGAGGATTTCTCGATGTCGGGTCCCCCATCGATGCTCCGTGGCTTTTTGCTTGCAGCCCCGACTCAAAGCCTCAGACACGCCTGGGAAAAGGGGGGAGGGAAGGAATCACTTACCTGGGTGGAGGAATCTTAATAATGTCTGGTCTGTCATGTTGCGTCCCGGGAACCGGTCAATGGGGCCATGTGTTGAGGCCCCCCGGACCTTTTCTGGCTGCAATAGCTAGTACCAAGAAGTTGGCATCTGCAATCTATCACTTGGTAGTCAACCAGATAAAACTTACAAGACATAAACATAATTGAACACCCTGCACTATTTAGACGCGCCAAGTATGAGACAGCTTTCCAACAGTAAACCGGGCACTCGCTCGTCGCACGTTGATTTCCCGAGTCATGGTTGTCTGCCCATTCAAGGCTCACGCGGCCCGTTCTCGGTAGCTTCAACTGCCGTGCCGTGCCGTCCCAAACGATCAATGATTGTTCAGAAGCGAAGCCCTTGTGCTCAACCGGCGGTAAAGAAGCCTGGTCATTGCTGCGTTGGCTTTCTTCAGCGGCGCCCCCCGCGACTAGGCCAGGTTGTTGCCCGGCTGCGGACACCGACGTCATTGCCGGTGGGTGGGCTGAGGTTCATTCAATGTTGCCTGGCTGTCATTGAAATGAATGGGACAATCCGTCGCCGTCTCCAGGAAAATGCGCCGCAATTTAACCGCGGTACATGCCATTTGTTTGTTCGAGATATTTTTATCTTTTCGAGGTGAAAACTACGCAACAGGTCCGAAGCTTCCGGCGCACCAACCAACATGGATCACTCAACTGTTTGAAATCCAGCGACGAACTGGTTTCAACAATGCCCAGATTTGCAGTGCTGGTCCCAAAAAAAAAAAAAAAAAAAAAAAAAGGGGCCGCCATGTCGCCAACTCCCCACTTTCACCACAATAATAATCCGCTTCCACTTTGCCATCATCACCTTCATCACCATCACCATCGTCACCAGAACAAGTTGCATTGGAGACCTCGTCAATGGGCGGCATGTCGTGAGTGAGAATGGCGCGCATTATGTGCCCCTCGAGACATTCACTACGTGTCCTGTCCGCCCCGCCAGCACCCCCTTGAACATGTCCAACAACATCGTCGCAGAATCATGGACGTGGTACGCCCTGGTCTGGTTCGTGGTCTTGTGTCGAATGTAGGTTGCGCTGCTACTGAGCCATGAATCGGCTCATTCAACAAATCCCACATGGCTCACATACTGCGTCTAGCGTCTCACAAATCCTGCTTCGAGGATCGATTAAAAAGCTGAGACCCGACGATGGACTGATTCTTTTCGCCATGGTGGGTAACCCCAAAAGGTGGCAACCACAATCGCATTGCGGAGAAGGGCCTACCTAACCTTTCTCCAGATGACCTACACGGTGTTGATTGTGAGCATCAACATTGTGTCCGATACGGCCAGCAATCTCATCGACCCAAACGACCATGTTGTACTCACGCCCGAGAGCGTCAGGGAGCGGAGATTCGGGTCCAAGATGGTCTTGATTGTCGAGCAGATGCAAATCAGCACTGTATGGATAGTCAAGACGTGCCTGTTAATCATGTATTACCGTCTGACGTGAGTTCACTCCATGTTTTGCCGTGTTTCGCAGAAAGAAAAGAATATGCCTGGTTGACCCGCCTTCAGACTGGGCCTCGCGCAAAACACTGCGGTCAAGCTCGTCGCTGTATACGTTGCCATCGGCTGGATAGTGATGGAGATGTTGTACTTTGGAGTGTGGTGCAGACCCTTCTCTGGATATTGGGAAGTCCCTCCATCCAATCGTAAGTTTTTTTCCCCCCTGCCTGGTCGACATGTAACGCTCAGCAATATTCACCGTTGCGACTCAACCAGCTCAATGTGCAACAGCCCTGCATCACTTAATCACGAATGCCGTCTTCAATATCTCTTCTGATATCATGATTATACTCATCCCGATACCGCTACTCCTGAGAACCCAGTGGCCCCTCAAGAAGAAGCTCATTCTCTGTGTCGTGTTTGGCTTGGGAGGCTTTACGGTGAGTTGCGCGAGCCATCATCTCTAGGAAGCCCCAAAACCCTCTTTGTGCGCATCGCGCAACTAACCTGGGCCCAGATTCTCTCCACCGTTCTCAATAAATATTACAGCTTCACGCAACCATATGGACCACAATGGACATTCTGGTACATTCGAGAGTCGTCCACCGCAATCATCGTCGCCAACTTGCCTCTAACGTGGACGCTTATTCGCAGAGTCTTTAGCGTCGGCTCATTTCGTGGTGGTAGTGGTCGAAGATCAAGCGGGCCAAGACAGTCTTCACAAACAGACAATGAGCGCAAGTCTGCGGCATGTAATCCTCACGACGCCGTGAGAGAACCCGGCAGCAGCAATCCAAGTCAAGAAGTGGACTGTGCATTATGACATGACAATTGAATGCTTTTAGCAAAGCCTACAAGATGGAGCCGTAACGAGCGTAGTATTTCCATTTAGAACTATTGGCGCTGTTGTTGCGTGCTGCTCGCTGCGTGAGGTGTACCTGCCAATATGCAGCTTCAATGTTTGACCATTGCCAGCTAGCAGTTGCTGTCAGCAATAGCCGCGTCCTTTGGCAAACTGCAAAACGAATTACGGAATTACATTACATCATACTGGGACCGTCACAGCCAAGAGGATTTAGTGTTCACCTGGTAGCATAAGAGTAGTAGTTGGTTATGCCAAGTTCATCAGGGCCAGAATCACAGGGTACCCGATTTTATGGCCTGTCGTTCCGCTTGGTCCATGACGCCCAACAGCCCATGGTAATTATCAGGCGCATTTACCCAATTCGCAGTTGTAATTCAACCTGCGAATCATTCACAAGTGCTCGAAAGAAAAGACAAGTCATGACATAGTGATCCCATAATATGTCGATTGGAAGCTATATGAAACGCTGTAAAGATATATGCCAGACTGTCGTAGCCATGAATTATTCAACAACACTTACTGTCACCCACTATTGGGCGGCAACAAAGCGAGCGCTTGCATGAGCGCTGAAGGGGATGAGGATTCTTTCTTCCATTCATTGAGCCATGTTAGCCTCGCCAACCAGCCAAATCAATTCCGACAAGTAATCGATTCTACTGCTTCCCTCATTATGGTTTTGGTTCTTGGCTCCAGGGAGGTGGTGGATCAGGACTTTCCATCTCCGCAATCTGGTGCATCTGTCCCCATTGATTGTTGGGTGACAGCATTCCAGGAGGTGGTGAAGGACTTTCGGCCGCCATCTCCTGCAGTTGCGGCAATTTTGACTGTTCCCATGTTGCCGCCGTACTGACGGGGCTTCCAATAGTTGATACGGCGTATGAGTCGTGCGGTCCTCGACTGTAATAGCTGTCGTGTGGATGGCTGTATGGCGACTGGTTAGAAAAAGCAGTAGAGCCCGCTTGACTCATCTGGTTCTGAGCGGCAGCCGGCGTTTCTGCTGTCTTGTTTTGTTGTTGACGCCGGAAGTGCAGCCACATGCCTACCGCCATCAAAATTACAACGGAGCCGCCGATCACGATGCCTGCAATAGCTCCTGCAGACAGGCTAGAGGAAGACCCGCCCACAACTTCCCCGGATGAGGTCGTGGTAGAGTTTGGCGGTGAGGACATTGTTGGAATCACTCCTGTCGCTGTGCCCTTTGGGGTAGAAGCCTTGAATCCATATGGTTCTAAGCTCTTATATGCTTCGCAATCTTTCCTGGGTACAGCCTCTGGGCAGGTTTCTGCGAAGCACACCGAGTTGAGTTGCCCATTTTCGTCTGGCGGTGAACATTGGTTGTTGTATTTCGTATTCATAGTCGCAGCCAATTGCTGAGCATCGGCGTCCGAAAAGTTATGGTATTTGCTGGCTAGCATGAGTTGGTCGATAAAATATGCCACTTCTGTCGCATTTAAATTCATAAACTTATGAACATAGGCTGGTGTAAATGGAGCGTACTCCTTGGCCACAAACTGGCTAGCATTGCTGCACTGGTAAACTTTTCCAAAGGTAACATACCAATGGGAGAACAAGATTCTAGTTTATCAAACATTTAGTGATTGACTATTTAATAGCACTAATTACTTCCAGATGGCAAACGTTGAGGCTTACTCTTGATTTGACTTCGGTCTAATTTCTGCAGTGACGGTAGAGCCGTTTAAAAGGGCAAGGAGGGGATCGAGACCACCTCCGTCTAGCCAGTTAATCGCTTCTGGTTGACCATTAAAGTTTGTAGTCGCCTCTATTACATTGTTAGCTCTCCAACATCTGAGATGCTTGGCTTCAAATATGCCGGGCCGTCCCATACTTGATCCGTCAAACAAAGGACGGAGGAACACATTGTAGCCATTGAACTGCCCCTTGTTGAAAATTCCAGTACTATTTGCATTTGGATCTGGCAGAGCATCTCCACCAGCATAAGCGTAGGCAACAATGCCCTGCATCAGACGATGCTGGTTCTTGACACTACTTTCCCCATAGTTCTTTTCGGCATAGTAGTCGCAAATGGTTTGATTGTCTCGTCGGAAAGCGGCGACCGCTCTTCCGATGTATAAGATTAGCGAAAGGTTAATGCACTTCAACAGCATTTCGAAGGAGTCGTTGGGATTCACATAATAAATGCTCTAAGGGAAGAAGGAAGTGGAGAGAGACAGCAGAAATTTGAAGGGAGGAGGGGGAAAGGCGACTCGGACCTCCCGTGGTACATATCAAAAAGAAAATCAATGACTGATCAGACCGCATCCAAGCCTCACAGCTTGTCAACAGCTTGTCAACAGCCTTGTACGACGTTAAACTCGCATATTGAGCAACCTGCAGTCCTGGTCCGCGGGGACACACCCAATGATATGATTTTACTCACAGCCGCAATCGTATTCATGAGCCATACATACATGGGTCTGCACAGCATGGTACTTTCGTTGGTCCAAGTTCCTATGCTGAGAAGTCCGCAGTATTGAGACTGGCCTGGTTGCGGGCGTTGGCTTTCCATGAAATCCAAGGATTTGGGCATCAGCTCGTTGTGGGTCAGTGATATGTACTTGCAACCAACAGAAGTATTCGTATTGTGATAAAGCTATAGCATTTTTGGGGGCCTCTGTCTTTTTCTTCCTCTTGTAGAGGTAAAGTGGGAGACGGGGATGCCACCAGATGGGGTGGCACCGGTTGGTCGCCTAGGAGGCCCCGACACCTTCGTCTAATTTGCCAACATCGACTGAACCAACAGTTGCGTCAACAACATCGGGATTCGGTGCCGAGAAAGAGACTCAGTGCAAAGTTCTGGGCCATCATTGGGAGTGTGTTAGAAAGTATGGATGGTTTTCCACCCTACTGTTATGCCTGGCGCAGGTCTGACGAGGCTTGAGACGGAGCCTCTCGTTGGCCCGTTGCCAGATTCATGACTTGCTTCGCAAGTGTCTCACAAGAGCTTTTGCAGATTGGGCGTTATCCCCCCCGTACGCCGCAGCCTGGTTGAGAACGGTCGAGCTCGCAGGCGTGCTTGCCCGAGAGAGGATCAGGGCAAGGTTCCTGGCCAATTACGATTTCCTTCCCAGAAACCAGAATGCATCGATGCAGCTTCGGCATAGCTCTTGTCTCTGGTAGTCCGGAACAAACCACTCATAGAACCTATAATCTCTCATCATTGCGTCCAAATAAAATGCTGCAGCTTTCGTGAAGGCTCAAATCAAAATCAACGTCCATGGTTCGGTTAGAATAGCACCTTGATTGACAGCAAAGTGGAGGTCAGGAAGTTATTGCGTTAGTCGGCCCTCTTTGGCTTTGAGTGATCTAGTTATTCTGGCAATACCAGAGAACCCAATCGCACTGGCCTTACGGATAGTCGATGCCAAGGGGTGCCCAAAGCGCTTTTTGGTCAGCGCCATGGCCCAGTCCTTTCTGCTCGATAGTCAGCCAACATGAGAGACAAAGGTGGCCATGGGATTGCAATACAAACAAACCACCCCTACATCCAATATGGTACGGAACCATAGTGCCGTACCAGGTCCTAAAAAAATAGACCGAAAGTTGTGTTCCAATACCGGTATGTTGGCATCGCGTTTTGTAGTAGGTCTGCGAGTTGTCGATACGACACCCGTCTTCTCAAAGCATTCTGAAAGTATGAAATGTGCCGATACAGCAGTACTTTGACTGGTGCTGAACGGATAACAGCATCAACAGCGACATCATACGGACAAGGCCATCGCAGTATCCTAGGGTCAAGAGCATCCCCAGAAAAGTGAATCGGGTTTCCGACAAAATGGGGCTCTCAAAGGCTAGACGTTAGATTCCATGTTCTCGCTGCTGCACCCGAAGTGTATCGTTTCGGCACTCTTCGCCACATAAAGCGATCAGTGTTCCATTCATAGACCATGAAACTGTATCAAACATGACGGCCAGTCAATATAGGAGTCCTATAGTGCTTCTACCATCAGCCATCATTAGGTAACATCTCCGGCTGACCTATTGTCGCACGATACATAGTTGTGACCTGTTACTTCATATGATTTGAAACGGTTTTTGAGCGCGTGGGTTTGCGAGCTGCATTCTCCAGGATGAGGGGTGGCCCTTGCTGAGAAATGAGCCTTCAAAGCTGCACAAGAATCGAGGACATGTCAAAACAAGCGTCGGGAGAAGCTTGCTTATAGCTAAGAAAATCTTACTACACCATGGTTCGTTTACAAGCTCGAATATGAATTGCGCGAATACCGCTCTATACGGTTCTACGTGGGAAATATGTTCAAGTGCGCTATTGCTTGCTCCCATATGGTTCGTTGTAGTGTCTGCTTAAAGCAGTCTCATAGTTTGTCGACATGATTACTGAGTTGTAAAGGTCATTCATGATGGCCAGGTTAAGCGCTCTAGAACCGGCTGAGTGCTCGTGGCGTGTCAAACAAACCATTTTAGCTGATTGTGCGAATCGACCAAGTTGTGTCACGGGGTGGAGGATCCTGTTCTGCTAGATGGATTCTGATGCAGCGCATTGGCCTGTTCGCGAATCGCAGCGCAACTGGTCGTCCAAACCCAACCTGAGTCCATTCCACTCGGCAAGGACAAGCCTGCTCTGCCAACCATCATGCCAAAATTATTCCCCAAAACATCGTTACATATACGAAGTAAGCTGCCTGTAATCAAGTTGTTGTTTGAGCGTCTTCCTAGACTGGATTCCGCATTGCTGACAGAGGTTGCTTGCATTGAACGTCGCGTGAAGTAGTCGGCTTTCTGGCTTGCACAATGTTTTCTCTTCTTGACGTTACGAAGACAAGAGTGGCGACATCATGCTAAAGTCATCATTTGTAAGCTCCCAAGCCAGAGGTTGGACACCGATGAAGATTGAGCCTTGGGAATACCAGGTAGATCTGACGAGTCGGTTGTGGCAAAATTTCCAGTGTCAGGCTGAATCTCTGAACCGAAATTTCCCGTCGGGATACACAAGCCAGGATACTATCATACCCCTGTGGATCAGGTGAAAGTGAGTCTGCGGTGGTCGTGAGAGACAGGTAGATGCTATAATTGATCGTGCTGCATGGCCATCCAGTGGGATTTCGCCCAGCATGTTCTGTTTGCAATCGGGCCTCGAGGTAGCATTCAGTGTGACAGAATCAAGGTATGAATGCAGTCGGATTTTCCGTGGGCTGAGTGCCGGACTGCAATATTCCTGCAGTGCGAGTGTCGGCAAAAAGGTCGATTGAGCAAGGCGAGGTCCCAGGGAAGATCCACAGCTGCGACCAGAGCGAATTGAGGGTGCAAGATCTTTTGGTCCTTGTGCAGTATGAGCATGGGCAGAATAGTCGAATTCGAGCCTTGTGCGTATGTCAAGAGTAAGATTAGCGTCTCATCCGTTGTACAACGTCAACACTGGTGCAGCCAGCTTACCACCATCGCCACCTGATGAGTTGGAAGCAGGGTCCAGAAAAGAAGCACCAGTTGACGCCTGCTGTTGGAGTGGTTCTGCCGCCTCAAACTGCCATTTGTGTGTCTTGGCCAAAGAGAAAGTCCAAAAATGCAAGCCGTATGGTATTGTTTCCGATGCCAGACACGCAAATAGCAAAAGATGTCCAAGGTTTAATCCACGTACATCCTTTTATCCGAACAACCACTGATAGTCAAAGCTGATTGTCGAGGCAGAAATCTCCTTGGTGGCGTCTGGTCCATGTGTGCGACACCTTTCTAGGGCAAGGCAAGTGCAACCCAGGTTTGATTGTGGGGTTGGCAGCACCAGCAGTTTGTCCAGTGCTAAACATGTCTGGTGCGTAACATCAGACGTACATGTATGCTTTAGTGTCATACGGAATACCGTCACCGTCATACATGGCTTGTCCCATCCGTCGCTCGCTATAACCATCGGGAGAGCACATGAATGGAATACGAGGCGTGGCTACCAGACGCCTAATTTCTTTTTTTTTTTGTGTGTGTTGGCAGTCGTCGTGTGACAACACCCCCTGACTCTTTTTCACCAACCTTCTCCCTCTCAGCGGCCCCGGACACAATTGTAGACAAGTCACTGAAACGTAACTGCACATATGGAGAATCTACCGACAAATTGACCATGGCAAGAAATATACCACTTCAAGAGTATCAATAGCAACTTGATGTAAAATGAGACAAGAGTCTAAGGAGGGCATTGGTGTATCTATCAATAAGGTTTGATCGGTACAACTTTCATCATCTATATCATCTGTGCGCGTTGTCCAGCTTTTAATCTCGACGATAGAAGCATTGGGCTCCTTGCAATCGATCCCCCTTCGACCGCCGACCAACGGTTTTCTTTTTTCGGGATATTGAACAGAAGACACAGACTTGTCGGTCAGTTACAACGCAGCATGCAAGCCGTACTCCGTTCGTGGAAAACGTGGCTTGTTGTTTGCCTTTATGGCTTTGTGAGTCTCAACGGATTCGACGACAGAACCAATGACAGTCGATCGGCTGCGATCAATGGCCTAGATGGAGACGATGTTGGCAGGCGGATCGTTGGGGGGTGGCCGACATCTAGATTCTAGGGTCTGGGGTAAATGTTGCCAATCAAGATTCATTGACTAGAGTTCCCCAGTCGGGGGGATCAAAGTCGTATACGGAGTACAAAGCACTTCGATTTCAAGAAGCTTTTAAACATCGTCAAAGGCTCAGAAATTATTAAGTTTGCTCTCCATATGAAACAATCTAGACAATCTTTCAACATCGTTGGCTTCATCAGACCATGTTTCACCATGGAGATCCTCCACGCCTAACCCGTCCCCACACACATTATGACAGATTTGTTCGCCGAAGACGGCTATTGGCGAGGCCACATCATTGTACGCTGGGACCTTCGCACCGTTCTTAGATGCCCAAGAATCCCACGATTTGTCCAAACTTGTCTCCATAGACGCAGCGGCAACCGCCGCGGCCATCCAATTCTTCTTCACGTGTCAAACTGGCCTGGCACAGGTCGTGGTCTCGCTCGCCTTGTTGAGCAACATGGCATATGTAAGCTCTTCACCTTCTACACTAGACTCGAGAAACTCAACGACCTGGAAGAACCTGTTGGTCCCAGGCGCGCCAGGGGCGTAGAAGATGGCGGGAAGCCAGGCGAACGAACTGGGCCGAGAGGAGAGCCGCTGCATCCCACTTTGGAAGCGGTCACTATTCAGCGGTGGTGATAGTTGGTACGTCTGTTTCCACTCTTCTGTGATTCATCTTTGTCTCTAACAAGGTCAATGGGCGCCGGACAGGCCGGTATAACGGCAGAAGCAAGTCTGAAAATTGCTCGATATCGAGACACTGCTTATTGACCAAAATGACCTTGAAGGAGATGACTGGCGCAAGCGATACCATCAACTACTTCTCCGCGATGCAGTCCGGTACGACCACATGCCGTACCTCAACTTCCCCAACCACTGGCCTGTCAGTACAAAGGACAAAATTAGCACAGTTTTTCGAATCTTACGCTACACTACTCGAATCCAATGTGTGGAAAAAGACTTGGATGGTCCCACACCCAGTGGGATTCGTCTAAATGCACGAGGACAGTAGTCGTCAACCGCATCCTCGCCGGCGGCACCAGCGAGATCCGCAAATTCCACCCTCGTCACATCATCCAGGCAACAGGCCACTCCGCCAAGAAGAACCAGCCTACTATTGCGGGCCAGGATAGCTTCACAGGCCTGTTGTATCACCCTTCCAAGTTCCCCGGTGCGCAGTCCAGCTCGGCGGAGAAAAGAGCCGTCGTTGTGAGATCATGGAATCCCGCCCCACGACATTGCACAAGGCTACATCGAGAAGGGATACGACACCACCGTTATGCAGCGTTCCACCACGCACGTCGTCTCGTCCAAGTGAATTATAGATATTACGCTACGCGGGATATACTCTGAAAACGGGCCCCTGATGGATGATGCGGACATGCTCATGCACAGACTGCCAGCCCCCGTTCTGAAAGCCGTAGAAATTGCCATGGCGGCACGACGGGCGGAGCACGACAAGCACCTGCTCGATAGTCTCGCAAAGGCGGGCGTCAGGGGGCGTCAGGGGCCCGGCAGTGCAGGTCTTTTCTTCGAATGCTTCTGACGCGGGGTAGGCTACTATATTGACGTCGGGGCATCTGAGTTGATTGCTGAAGGCAAGCTAAAGGTGAAGCGGGCAGGAAATCGACCAGACATTACCACCTGTCATTCGTTTTAGTGATGGCTCAGAGCTGGAAGCTGACGAGGTTGTGTTTGCAACGGGCTATCAGAATATGCAGATACAGACGCGAATCATGTTTGGCAATGACGAGGCGGACAAGGTTGGCGATGTGTGGGCGAATCAACGAAGAGGGCGAGACGAGGACTATCTGGCAGAAGAGTGGACATCCCGCGTTTTGTTTTCATGGCGGAAATTTGGTTATGCCGGTATCTCGATACTTTTAGCATTGCAAATCAAGGATTTGGAGGGGGCATTGTATCAGTATGGCGATATCTCATCAAAGCTCGCCTTAGCCAGATATCTAATTATGAGATGGCTGTTGTTATGTTCCTTGAACCCTCTTTCTGCCCGTCTCTTTCTAAATGTACACTGGTGATTCGGGTGAAGATGTAGTACTCGTGACATACCAGCAGAAGTCTGAGCTAAGATTCCTCGAAACAAGAATATCGTCAAACATTTGCGTGTCCTTGCCCCGCGCTAAGTCGTCAGCATGATGTCGTTGTATTTACACAAATAGCCAAAGGAGCGCCCCTGAGTATCCATCATCATCATGTATCGTTCAAAACATTCCACGTATTCATATCATTCAGCCATGAGAAGTCATCCACCGTGAATGTCAAGTCACGGATATCGAGGTCCGGAAAGTGCGAAAACGACTGGTCTTGCTGGACTGGGGGTTGTAGTATACGGCTGGCGTGTGGAGCGGATGAATGCATTGGTGACACAGTGACATCAAAATGGGCCGAGGAATCCGTTGTAGAAGCACCACCATTTAGAATCTTGGACGACAAAATTTGTAGTGCTGCAACGCACCGCCGAGCTGATGTACTGACATGTTCGTGGGCCTGTAGCACCTTCATGACTTCGCTCCAAGCCTGGTTGATATCTTGCAAATTAATTATGTCTGTTCGCAACTTAGCAGCGATAAGGACGGTGGCAGCGGAGAAAAGATAATAGACTCGGTACCACCAGGCGGGAAGGAGTCCCACAGTTCCGTCGTAGGCCTGGTACTTGAGGAGCAGAGAGATGATACTTCGGGCTATCTCCACGCAATATATCGTGCATTGCTGCATTACGCGGGATTGCAGACTGTCTGGTGGTCGAGTAGCGCCGACTCCGAATCCTGAGGGTGGCAAGCAAACACGTGCAACGACAGGGCGGAGAAGAAGCATTCGAGCGTGAAGAAATCTATCACAATTAGTCAGCCGAATGAGATGTGTTTGTTATTCCAGATGCAAATTATGAGTGTAAATGTACCGTATGTGCAGAATAACGGCCTGGCGATGCGACACGTCATTGTTCGCCACATCAGCGTCGCTCAATACTAAAAACTTGGGAAGGCTTTCTTCCCATTTCATCATGGCCGAGTCCAATTGCATGACCGCGGCAAGGTCTTCATCTTTCCTATCATCGTGAATCGTAGAACGAGGCTGCGATCCAGGTTCGGAATATAAATCAAGAAGCACTCGGTGAGTAATTTCGTAGAGCTCTACAGACTTAACAAAAAAAGAACCCTCCGTCAGACGCCCATAATCGTTTGGCTTGGCATTTGAAGAAGTCAGTGGGAGCGGAACAGCGGATGCAAGGTTCCGTGATATCATGGCAGGGCGCCCATGAGTTAGAGATACCATACTAAAGCCAGAGTAAGCATTCAGGAGTGTCAGGCGGAACCGGTCAAAGCTGCTTACCGGTCCATAAGCACGCAACCATGCCATATCCTCCGAAGAAGTTCACGCTGGCTTGTGGTTGGCTGTAGAGCTGATGTCTCAGGTAGATGCAGGCCTAGACTCTGAGCGACTCTCACGGCAGATCCCACAATCATCCATGTTTGATGCGGAAGACTCGTGCTCTGCAGATACTGGCTCATGAGAAGCAGATACTGCACGAGCTCCAATGACCCCGAATCCCAAAATGTCAGGTCCAGTAGGTCTTTGGCACGTTTGAAATACACATCGCTTGTCTCGTCTCTGTTTTCGGGTTCCATGGACTCAACCAGCTGAGTAGCCAGGGCAAAAATAATGTTCAACGTCGCAACGAAAATAACTTCGTCAGTGTCAATTGGTGTTCCAGCAAAAAGATTGGCATAGTTTTGCTCCCATTTGCGCCGGTCCAAAAACGGATACAGTGGATCAACGTAGAACCAATATACATTCATCAAATGATCCGCCTGTCGACGAGGCGGCAAGACCTTGTTGGCACTATTGTGCATGCCCGTTCGCCTAGGTGCACTGAGGTTTCCAACTCCGAGGCTCAGACCAGAACGAGGGGATTTCGGCTGAGCCTGGCCGAGGCGATTGGCAACGGCAGCCTTGATCTGGGAAGTAAAGGAGCCAGCACTGCTGCTTCCGAAAAACTCTCCGGTGCTAACACCGTCATCGACAACGGCGGTCATGGAATCAATAGCGGAGGGGCTGGCGTCTGGAGCCCGAACAGATCCAGCATCCGAGAGCGCAGCATTCCTTTTGTGCCGAGGGACGATATGTTTGACGTCGGCAGTGCTCTTGCTGGGAGATGGACTCGGTAGCACAGGCCGGAACGTAGACGCCTGAGATGATGAGTGTGGTCCTTGACAGTTGCGAGGAGGCTAAGGGTCACCACCGGGCGGGACATGATGATTGGTGAGATTGCTTACTTGGGATGGATGAGGCTGCTGCAGTGGCTCATTCTTCGCCGGCGGCCAGTCTGTATAGGTTGATGGCAATGCATCTTTGTGAGGCGCGGCGGGCGTACCATCGCTGTTACTGTACCGGCAGTGATCTTTTTGGCCAAATCTCTTGGAGCAGTTGCCGCAAGCTATTGTTGGGTAAGAGTATTGATTAATGAAACTGGTCTGCAGAATATGTGAAACGGAGAGGTCATCGGAATGTGGCAATATATCATGCTTCGGGAATCGGAAGGCATGTGGTTGGAAGATGGCTGCTCACCGGGTCGTGCGCCGTCACACTTGACCTTTCGGCCGCGGCAAGTGTCGCAGGCAACATCGATCTTCAGTCTTTTAGGCCGACGTGGGCCAGAAAACAAGGGAGCTCCAGTTGGAAGATGAGTATCCATTATCCGACCAGAGCAGAGATGGTCACACAGCTTATCCCTCGGCTTGGGCGCCTGTGCCTACTAAGGCACGGGGCTGGGGGATGGAGTCCAGTCCCGCCCGTGGTTACAACTGAGCTTCGGGAGCGTTGACTCGTGGAGGTAGACGTTCGGAACAGTTTGTACAAGAAAGAGAGTGACACGGTGATCGTATATCTCAATTTTTTAGATGAGATCTCGCGGCAAAAAAGAAACGACAGGCCCTGGGGACTGGCAATATGACGGCAATATGAATTGGGATCTTGCGACTGGCGTCTGGAGGACTCGGTACAGCCGGGATGTATAGCTGGACAGATGGCCGCCGACTGGATTCACAGCGAGCCAACAGCGCGTCACTCAATCGATCGGCAGCGGCTATGCTTGGGGCGTATCCTGGGGTTACGAGCTCGAGTGTTTGATTGTTCCGAAGCCGCACCCACAATCGTGACAATGGTAATCAATGATGGGTTGCAGGGTTGCGAAGTTAACGGTAGGACCAGTTGACGCCTGGCTCGTTCCTTCCCACTCTTACTGTTCTCCACCTGCCATAACTGGCAAAGCAGCTAAAGTTAATAAGACGACCTGAAGTGTTGATCTGGGAGAGCATTCACAGATCCAGCTTTCTACCTACATTACTTATGCAATCTCAGGCTGTATAATAGGTTTGTATGTTCCTGTATCTTCAACCTCGCAACGTTGATCAGGCCAAGACACGTCGTAAACGTTAAAGCGCGTGTCCAAAATTTGCACTCTTGACCACCTCAAGCAATCGCCTCGGCCTGGTATTCATGCGATTGCTGGTGGTCGCCATCATCCTTTTCGCGTCTGTTTGGCTTGTACACAATTGACAACAATAAAATCCGCTGGCTGCAGGGTGAGTCTACCGCTATTACAGCTGCCTATCTGTCGTTCAACCCAGCAGCTATAGAGACGATAAAGACAAACCAACATTCGCCGTGGTACTGACAAGCTTGACAAATTGATGGGTCTGACAATTGAAAATATATGGGATTCAAGCTATTAGGACTACATACCGCTTGATATGTGATGTGAGGCTCCTTACGGCGAATACCGTAACTGGCCTCCACCTTGTCATACTATTTCGCCATTGTGTGTGTGAGGCTTTGGTATGCACAGCCCGTTAATACCAGACTGTGCCAGAATATCACTCACATTCCACTATTGTACTTTAAGGAGAATAACATGTGCTTGAGCTCTACACTCCCTCAGCAGTGTAACCTGCCGTATACTGAAGTTGACGGCTACACGGTGCACCTGGCTGTCGCGCTACGGTCGCATTACTGTGAATACAGATCAAGTACTAGTTTGAAATACCCTCTTAGCCATCGAGAGAACGGTCCGAGGCCGATCCGACAACATTCCCGTTCCGAGAGCTATGGCCCAACTTCCAGATCCACCGCAGCCTCAACCCCATGCAATCCCGAACTACCGCCCCGAATGGCTGGAAACTCTTATCCCGAACCAACACCAAGACTTAAAAGAAGCGCGTGTGTGCTAGGAGGTCGTCCAAGGAAGTTTTCTAGAATTCGGCGTTGGTTTTGGCTAGCTCCGTAGTTCAGGATCCCATTTCGGAATCTATCCCAAGCTTCGTTCCTGAAGGGATCGCCGGCAAAGGTAGAATCAAACAAGTCTGCAGCAATAACTCGTGCGCTAATTGTCTGTCGTCAATATATTGATGAAGACCTCATGTATGACTTCGGAACCACAACACGTAGCCATAGTAAGTCGCATCGTATCCCGACATGAGGTGCGTGCAAAAGGTGTACGGAAAGGATGCCTCTGGTCTTCGATTGAAGTGGCACTCTTCATCTATTCCCAAGTCGATATCAGCCGGATCTATTTTAAGCAGTGCGTCGCGGCTTTAGGAGTTGCGAATGGCTAGATCAAAGGATGTTAACGCTCTACCCAGTTTATAAGCATGGAGAAGTCGAACCCGATACACCATGCGTACAGTTCGCTTATACACGCGTCAAGTGTGACTTCTTGTCGCTGCTCGAGTTTCGGGTCTATCAATTCATCTGGAATACTTTGCGGCGGGGCTGGCAAATTGGGGTGTTCTTGGACCCAGGCATCCGTATACGTCTTGTCTAAATTCTAGTGGCAGCTGACTTTGATGAGGACATTTTTCATCCATGACCACTGTTCGAGCATGCTGACAATGCCTTCGCCAAACTCTACGCTGCATCCGAAAGCGTGTACCTTGATAAATTCGTGTCTACTCAAGTGGTCATGCATGCAGTGACCGAGTTCTTAATCCGGTGTTAGTTGATTCGACGCGGTATTCGGTATCCCTCGGAGATGCTTGTACCGTGAAAGACCATCATCACTTGTGCGTGAGTTGGAATTACGAGATTATGTATACCTGACGGTGAAAAGGTGCACATAAACGTCTTCTCTGGGCACACTCGATGGCCGTCCGCGTCTTCGTAGCACTGTGCGGTTTTTAGCAAATTGTCTTTCATACCTAAGGTCACCATGTCATCATACCGGTTGGAGATTAACGCATTGATTTCCCTTGTACTTGTTCCGCCTTTACCCTGATCCCCTCGTGCTTGATGTGTCTTTCTTCGTCAAGGAGTCGATCATAATATAGTTTGTCAAAGGACTCTACCGTGACCTGCTTCAAGTTGAACGCCAAGGCCCTTCTCAACCAACACCTCTTTCTTTTTGCTCAGGGCACGGTCAAATCTACTTCTATACAGTGGAAGTAAGTCTTGCATCAGGGCAGCAATGGTACTCTCTACCCATGTTACTAATTCAGCGATTCTAAAGGGTAGTCGGTATTCGGCATGGCTATTATACCGAAGCAGTCAGGCATTTTCATCACGCAGCAAGACGATTTCTCTGAATAGAGGTCATTTTTCTCAAGTCTCTGCCATCACCCAGTTGGATGCGTTTCCTTGTCTCGGGGTCCTGAGCATATCGTAATGGTGTCAAACAATTGTCCACTCGCAACTTGACTCGTCGTTTGCCGCTATCGTGCCGGGGGAAGCCTTTTGGTGCTTTGTCGGGCAGACCAGCAAGTTGCTCTGCCGTGAAGAGTATGTCCACTGGAACATATTCTCGAATGTTTCGATTGAATTCAGCGCACAGCTCTTCGATCTTGGAGCTCCAATTACGCCAAGTTCGGCTGTCGTTGCCGTGCAGCAACCCATACCCACATTGCTGGTTGCGTAAGAGCGTTCGATCGAGAAGCCAGCTGGACTCAGAATCCAGCAACATGTTACCATTGTTGACAGATTGTATGAGCTGAAATAAGTCCGGTCTCTCTAATACTGTACTTGCATATTCGGGCCAGTGTTGAGTCTCTGCATCGGAAGACGCGTAGCGAAGAGCAGATATAATTGCTCTTTCCCCCGATTGTTTATTTTCCAATTTTGCAATGGGGAGTAGGACATTGGCAAATGTTGCATCAAAGGGCTCAACACTATTGACTATGGCATCGACGGTTCTGTGGTGTTCCATTACAAGACGTTGAGCAGCGGGGAGAATGTCTTCTCTTGGGGCGAACTAAGGGGCAATTGGGGGTATCTTGGAGACATGATGCTCAATGAGTTCTTGCTTCCCGTTTGGGATGCGTTGCGCGCGTAATCGTTGGGTCGAAGAGGCAAAACAAATCCGAGGTGCGTCATTAATTGAAGCGTCAAGTGGTGGACGAGTTCACGTGGCATTGTCTCGATCCAAATGTGGTAATTTGGCTATTTGTGGATTAAGCTGCAGTGCAAATCAGCTGCAAAGAAGGGGTCGAGTTGAAGCGCTTCATCGCTTAACCCGTCAACATGTCTGGTCCGTTTATCAATGCCTCAAAAAGCAGGGTTGGCCTTCTGCCAGCTGCATACTGAAGTACTTGACTTGTCAGTTGGTAATTGGCACAGCGGGGTTCGGGTGCCCAGAGCCTAGGTGAGCGGCTGGTGAAGCCAGTGTCACCGCGAGGACACAAGAGGTTTGTTTACTGTTGAAGCGAAATATGACTACATGAGTGCATTCTTTTTCTCTCGATATCAAGCGTCAATACCGAGTATTAACCGGCTTATTCTTATGCTCTCCTGGGCCACCCTGCTCAAGTCCTTGTGTGTCTCATTTTCAAACAGCATGCATGACCCAAGCCGACCGTACCGTACCTGCCCTGCTTCATATTGCAATATCGCTAACCCCACATCTCCCCGTTCCCAGCTCAGCCACACCCACTCCATGTCGCCCTTGATGCCCCATAAAATTCCATGTCCCTGTCCGCTTGTCATCCCTGGTTGCATGTTTGCCCCAGAAAAGAAGGGCCATAATCCTCGTCTAATGGCTACTACCTTGGTGGTGTGCCTTCAATTTTCCAGCCCGGGCTTTTCCCATTTACTCAACATGAGCTTGTACGCTGATGCCAAGAAAGGCTGGCGGCAACCAGGAGGGTTGCTCCAGTCCCCATAAATCTCCCTCAACAGGTCGGGTCGTAACACGGCATCGCTGGCGCCTTCAAATGTTTACCATCCCAAGTCTGCTTCTGGCCTCCATTGCTGATGGACCGCAGAGCG